CCCTTCAACTCCGTATTGCATTCGTAGTCGCTGTACTCGTTCTGGCGTCGTTCTTGGCGTCGCCCTTGGCATCAATGCAACGGCTATCCCATTATTTATCGGCGTCGACTCGAGTATGTCGTTCGCATCATCCTGCTCGTTCGTCGCTCAGTCCGGCGCCTTCTCCAGTCTCGAACTCTGGGACTTGTCTTCGGCATCGCTTAGCGCATAACTCGATGCACCTGATACTGCCATTGCACTTCGTTCTCCACTGTCCTGCGTTGTCCGTCCTTGTCGTCGTCTTCATTGCTTCCCGCTGCCGTCGTTAATCGTCTTGGCCGCTTCATACTCGTTCACCGACGACGCCCACGTAACACGTCCACGCTGTTCTTGGCTTCGTCGTCGTACTTGGAGTTGTCGACACCGTCGTTGTCCTTGGTATCGCACCACGCGTCGTTGCCGCCACATCACCAACGCTCAGAGGTTCCACCACCTCACTCAGGGGCCTTCTTGCTTCATCTGGCTCCTTGCATGGCGTCGCCATCTCCTCCGCCACGCTCGTCAACTCATTCGTGCCTGCGTTAGTTGCCTGAGCCGCCTCAGCTCGCCGCTTGGCCACTCTTGTCAATGGCCTCGATACTGATTTGCTTTCGCCGTCCTTGGTCGTCGTTGCCACACTGTCGCTCTTCCCGCTCTTCCTCGTTCTTCTCCTCCTCGACGCAACTGGCTTCACTGCCTTACCAGCCATTTCACCGTTTGGCGCCGTGTCCTGCTGCTTCTCGCTGTTCGGCTCTTCCATCGCGTGGTTCTCGTCCAGCGTCTGGGACGCTTCCACCGTCTGATCCTCGCCTTGCGTCCTGCCCCGACTCGGAAACGTGCCGGTCATCACTATTGCGTCACCAGTCGCTGCCTGCGACTCCACACCAACTCTCGTACCGTTCGTCGCCCTCGACGCGTCCGTATGCTCGTCCTCAGACTGCTGTATGTCCTGTTCGTCGTTCTGAGGCTGCTCTGCCTCGCCATTCGCCTAATCGGATGCCACACGTCGTCGTGCTCGTCTCCTTCGACTCACTGCCACTAACACCTTCGAGGGAGACCTCGACAACGCATCTGCGACTGCGTTTGTACTGCCCGGCCTATACTCGACGTTAAAATCAAACTCTTGGAGCGTCAACTCCCAGCGATGAAGTTTTCCCGTCAAATCAGGACTAGTCATAAGCCATTGCCGGGCTGAATGATCAGTAATTATAGTAAATCGACGCCCATACAGTAAAGGACGAAACAATTTAATTGACCACACCACTGCTAAACACTCCAATTCTGTAATTCCATAATTCGATTCAGTCTGGCTGTTCACTTTACTCGCGTAAGCTATAGGTTGCCAACCACTGCCCTGATCCTGCATCAAAT